GTCATGCCCTTCCCTTCTTTGGGACAGGATTTGATCTTATGCTTCTTCTTTTTTTTTTTTTTTTGATCTGGACATCAGTTAGTTGCATGCTGAAGTCCAGGTATAAAAAGCCCTGGAGCTGGTTCTCATGTAATAGGGGTGATCTGTATTTCCCTACTGGCTTTTGTCATCATTTCTGATTAATGAAGACTCTTAGCTCCAGACCCTTCCCGAATGCCACTCCAATCCCCTTCCTCTCCCTGATCCACTACTCTTCTTTCAGCTCCCTGCCCAATCTGCTGCATGCCATGCACGGAGGCTGCCTGTGTCATTTGTGGTACACATAAACAGTTAAATGATCACCTTTTAAAATCACCTGTTTAACTAATAACGCAAGGACAATTACCTGGAAACTTGTTGACTTGACCTGAGAATATCTCATTATCGTGAAATGATACTCCATGCCAATAGATATCACAAGGTAAGCGCCGACCAAATGGACACTGGAAAAAAGATACAACAGGCATGTTAAAAAGAGGGATTAGCTATACAAACCACGTGCCACATATAATTCATGATAATTCATTAGCTTTGTTAACAACAAACAGACCGAGTTTTAGCGTGGAATATAAAGAAGAAACAAGAAATCCTTTGTTGTACATCGCTTCCAGAAGTTAATTGTCTCTTTGCAAAAACGGAAAAAATTTAACTGAAGTTAAGAAGAGAATCTTGCAAATTGACCAATCATAAGTTTACTAAATCTCTCTCACTTGGGGAGAAGCGTAATTATCCCTACAGCATTAGGCATACTTAAGAAGCCCTTTCCTTGCGAGAAAGTAATTCTTCTATCATTATCTACTCTGCCATGCTGGTGCTCATTATCAAAAGCTAGGTCATTCAAAAAGTTAAGCAATGGATCAAAACAGGGTAAGGCTTCTCCATTCCATCCAATTCCTCCTATCAAAAAGGGCAAGGCGATCCTCAACATTTCACTCCCTCATATATATAGTAAGTGAAGTAAATATATTGTTTAGACAAAATGCATGCAGTATTTTTTAAAGACCTGTCTTAGGGCTGCTGTTGTTGTGGTGGGGGGAGCAAAGAGGGCCACACAGTATTTCTTACCCATTCAAAATTTTCATTTTTCCCCATGGCTGATTAAGTATTGTAACAAATTCACAAGAGTAGGTTGTATTATGGCAGGACTATATTATATTATAAGATGAAATCATTGCAAAAAACAAATGTGCTATGATTTTGCTTCCAGTTACATCAGTTTTCAGATGCTATCCAGTGACATGTTAGTATTCTCCACTTGCACTTCCTTTAACAATTTAACTATTAAAAGGAAACTTTACAGCAAATGAAGGCCTTAGTAATCCCTTATATTCCGCAACAATTTCTCATTGTTTACTGTTAAGTTTAATTTCACTCTCTGAAAGAAATCCTTATTAGCACCGAACGCTTTTAGGCAAAAGGAAAAAAACTACATAAACTTTTCAAGTGAACTGGTTCCTTTATTTGCAACTTTAATTAAAATTTCAGTTTATTCAGTAAATAGCTTTGAAAATTAATTAAAACGCTAATTTAGGACTGCATATTTTCTCCTTTTCCTAATTCATAGGGGTGACATGCACAACATAAACAGAGCTAGAGAATTCTTGACTCATTTCATTATTATTCTGTCTGCAAAGAAAAAAAGTGTTTTTAGTATGTGTGAAAATTAATTCCGTTAGGCTCTGAAAGACAATCAGTGGCCTTAACCCCTTTCTCCACAGGTATATCCAAGAATACAGATTCAGTGATGGGTCTCAGATTGCCCTTCCCACTAAAAACTTGAGCAATTTATTTATTTATTAAATGAAATTGAAATGAAGTGAATGAAATTTGCATTTATATAGCACCTTTCATCTGCATAGGCTATCAAAGCACTTTACAAACATTGCACAGAAATCATTTCACAACAGATGAAGTGTAAGCACCTCCGGGCTGGAACACCACAGCCATTTTACATCAGGAAGGTACTCAACAGTTCACAAGGGAAAGGGACGTCAGTGTTCTTGGCAAATCAAGGGAGTAATTAAGCAACTCAACAACTGGGTTTCACCAAGAGCGGGAAGGACACCCCTGCGCTTCTGAATGAAGTGCATCTTCTTCAAGGTGTGCGCCTTAATTTTCTATAAGAATATAAATAAGCAATGGGTCAAACTTTGGGCCTAGCCTAGCAGGGCAAGACAGATACAAACCTGGCTTAAACTAATCCCTTCAGGAGCCCCTGTACACTGGGCAATGAAGCCACTTTATCTTCTCCTCTGCTATCCAATCCCAGCTCCTAACGCCAAGGAATGGAGGAAAGGAGACAAATGAGGCACTATACCTACAGTTGGCTGGTGGAAGAGAAAGCAGCCCCAGATCTACTCCGTGTGAAACCAAGCACTGTTCTGGGGCTCACCACCAGCTCACAGAATTAGGAGCCACAGAAGTAACCTAAAGTCACTATTGCCTCTTCTTCTGCTCCTGTGCTAAGGACATGCAGCAGGTGCAGAGGAGCCAGTCTGGGTTTTTCAGTTCAAAACAACTTCAAGCCTGCCCTTAATTAATCTCAACTCTTCAAGACATTTCTTATATGCCTCCCAAGTCTAAATAAAGAGATCTTTACCTGAACAAAACCACAAGAGAGGGCATTGAGTAAACAGATGTGTTTTCACAGTTTTGACAAACTTTATCAATCACAGTCAAACTGCCCTATTTCTTCTCCTTGATTGGAAGGCAATAATTGAAACTGTTTCACAGATCACATCAGTCAGTTCCATCATGATACAGGACAAGTTAAATGTTCTTGGCTTCTAGTCAGCGTTTCCTACCATAAAATTTCAAATTATTTCTATGCCTCCCTGCCTCTACTGAATAGTTAGACAAACAAAATATTCAAAGCTTGGATATGTTGTCTCAGACATCCATGGCTTCTTTTTTCCTGCTGATCAAGTGTTTGTGTCTAGATGGACTGATTTATAGAAAGATGAACAAACTCAAGGGCAGAGGCTTAATTTATATCTGCTATTTCATTTGGCATATCAGATTCATTTCAAGAATCTGACCCACTAAGGCCATGCCTACACCATGAACGGACTGTGCTCCAGAGCAGCACTCAAGCACGCAGTGCTGTTCCAACCAGGCTGCTTCCTATGTTGAAAGGCATATTTCTACATCCAGGAGAGCAGCTCATGTGTGATGCCATACACATATGCCTACGCTGCTTCTGATTTAGGAAACAGCCTGCGCAACAAGGCACAGCCTGCTTAAGGACATCATGCAGTCAGTTTACTGTGTAGACAAAGCCTACACCAAATAGCCCACTCTAATGACATTAAGATGACTTCACTGGTCTGCAATAATTCTGCTACGTTTTGCTAGCCCCACCCCTGCACAACATCCAGGATGTAGCTATTACAGTTGATACAGGAATTTAGAATAAAATTGGAGTTAAGTAACATTGTTTGCATTTGCTGCATCTGATAATAAGAACTGAACCTGCCCATTATCCATTTTTCTTTTGCAACTTCTTGATGTATCAATCTTAGCATCATTCTCCATGCTGGTATTGTTCTCTCTCGTCAGTTAATGAATTTGCCTCTATAAATAAAACCAACTTTAACCAAACTGATTGTCAATCACAGATAAAAACTAGCAGACAGTCTCGTCCCTGATGATCAGAGATCCTGGTTCTCTCCTATTTAAAAAAAAAATCCCCAATTTTCGGACTTAAAAAAGTAACCCCAAATCCACATTTTCTGTGATTAAAATGAAATGTCACTAATATATCAATATATGTCTCTATAGATATATCTATATACAGTGGCATTTCATTTTAATCCCAAATCCACATTTTTCCATGATTAAAATGAAACATCACTACGTATATCTATATCTATTAGTGGTGTTTCATTTTAAAAATCACGGAAAAATGTGGATTTGGGGTTACTTTTTTAAAATCTGAAAATTGAGGATTTTTTTAAATAGGAGAGAACCAGGATCCCTGCTGATGACTACCATACGTGGCAAAAACAGTAAGTTAGTCTCTCACAAATCACACTGGTATTGTACATTCAGTTACAAGAAAAGCTCTTTCCCTACAGAATTTCAAACAAACAATTTGCCCATATTTATCTTATCATTACATCACATTCCTGGATAACATACAACATAATGATCTTTTGGAATCCACTGAAGGGTAAAATTATTCCCAAATCATTTAAAAAGTAATAATTAAATCAAATTGATAAGAGAGGTTGAAAGCATTTCAGCCAATCATCCTCTACTATCCCCAATGTATACCCCCAAAAAATATCTTTTTAGTATAAAACTTGTATGCATCTTTGAGGAAAAAAAAATTACTAGAAATTAACAGTGAAAGATCTGCCTCGTTCCCCACCGCCATATAAATCACCCTCTACCATGCCATCCTATTTGCAATACTCACCAGAATTGAATACTAATCCATTACTTGCTCCAAAGTGAAAATATGCCATTGAATGCATACTGATTGCTCTTGATATATATCATTTAGTAAAAATCTTAACAGCTCGTTTTAAAGGTCTACAGCTCCATGATACATTAGAGTTTTGGAATTCCCACCACACTGTGCTGAAGCCCAAGACTATTTTATTAATGGAGCTGGAATGATAAAGCCACTTTGTGTTGTGAAATTTGATCATGTGGCGATTTGTTTTGAGAGAAGTTAGTGTTAGAGCTGAAAGAACCTCACAGTGAAAATTAGCTGCAACTTTAAGCACAGCCTAGCACAGCAGAAATGGCTTAAGTCCTCATATCTATATTTGGACAGCAGCAAAAAAGAAGATACAAAAACACCGGGTATACTGACATTCAGCTGACTCTTTCCTACATCATGCCCCAGATACAATTAGTTCTAAAGTAAGTGCAAAAGGAGGAAATGCAGCTTTCCTACATGCAACATGAGAATGCACAAGACAGCAACCTGATCCTTAATGCAACTCCAATGACTTCCATGCAGCTCCCCAAGGGGTGAAATTTGCCCAGTATCACAGTCTAATCACATTTTCTATTTCTTTCGTAAATTGCTTTTATTGATTTATGTGACAGAAAGGAGGAGAGAGAGTGGAGCTCTATGGGGACACAGCACAAGAACTTCAGAAAATGTCTGATTTTTATCTTTTACAGTCAAAATAAAAACAAAATTAGGCTTGTTGTTAATGTTACTGTTGGAGACATTTTGAACAGGCTCAAAGGACTCTAGCATTAGTCACAGATCTGTATTCCCGTTGGTCATGCCACTACAGCCTTTCCAGAACTCAACAACACTCCTTCTCGACCATTCACAGCCACACACAACAGGCCTACAATTTTAAAGAAGCAAAGAGGCGCTAGGTTACCCGTGCCCTTGGGAAACATCTCACTAACATGGGCTCTGACATTTGGTTCTTCTGCCATTATTCTTCTGATTATGGTGGCTTGGGATCCGTTA